CACAAGAATTGGTGTTGTCCTTGGGTCACTGGCACATTGCTGTACACTGCTCCTTGGGGTGAACAAACAGGCCCTTTCTGATTATCTGAGTTACCTGTGAGAAAATATACAGTAAAGTTCTCTGTTAATAATTTTCCAGATGTCAGCTTTTTTTGGTGCCTCTTGTTTACAGCTTTGCATTTTTTGGGTTGGTGACAGGCCTGTATTATCATTAGGACTGTATCATCTCCTGGGAGAGGCCAGGCAGGAAAACAGGTGTATTGCTTACTTTTGGTACTCAGAGAAGAGGCAAATGCAGGAGCTGTGCATGCTGAGTTGGAGCAGCTTGAGGATTTGTGCCCAGGAAGAATGTGGGACAGCTCTCCTGAAACCTGTGCTCACCATTAGAGACTGAGTTTTAGCTCTTTCAGGGATGAGGTACAGGAACAGCTGAAATAGCAAGGGACACGCAACCAAGATACATTAACCTTGGGGAAGATCATGATAGTAAATTCCTACTGACTCATCCTAGTCCTAAATTCAGATCTGGACTGGGATCCAATGGGAAATACAAGAACTCCAATGATGCTCAGACACCCTCTGAGTTGAAAGCTGTGTGAAGGTTGTAGCTGGGGACTCTTACAGGGAGCATCTGTGCTGAGCATCACACAAACATCACTGGAACAGACAGCTGAGCAGAACTTAAACAGCTCTGGAATGAGGTTCCTGGTTACAGTTCACAGGAGCTGACTCCTGTCCTGAAAATCTTACAGTAAAAATAGCTCATAGATCCATAGATCGTGCGATCCCAAACTAACAAGGCATGGGGCTGTCAGGGTGCTGGGGGAATACTAAAAACACCTGTGCTTCCTTCTGCTGGTTGGCTTCCTTTCAAAGCTCTTGGTGTGTCTGGCCAGTCTGGAGCCTTACCTGGGTAATGGGACCAAGGAGGGAGGAGTGGTGCGTCCTGTGTTCCTGATGTGTAGGAAGGAGTCCATTTGAATTCTTGTTGGTGTAGAATGAGAAGCAGGTTTAGTGAGGATCCACACAGTTTCCTGCCTGCCCTGGTAGTCCAGACAAGTTATTGCATCTGCAGTCTGGGGTGTGATCTCTCTGTCCGAGCCTCCTGCCAGGAGGGATGGGAGATCCTGTCCCTGCATCCATCAGCTGTCTGTGCCATCCTCTGCTCTCCATCCCCATTGGAGAACCTTTCCTTTAAGTTTGCATCCTGTTTGCTGCTGCAGTAGCCAGGGAGCAGGAATGTCCCTGGTGCAGAGGGTGATCTTTGTGCTGAGATGGAGCTCTCCCAGAGGGAATTGCAGTGTCATGGTTGAGCTGCTGGGTAGAATATCCAGAGTGCCCCTCTCCCTCTTCAGCCTGTTTTTTCTGCTCCTATTTTTGTCGATGTCTTAGGCTTTTTTTTCCACTTGAAATACTTCGTGGGTCATTTGTCATTTTGCTAGCTGGCAAGTGGATGTCAATGTGATCTAATGTCAACAGCAGACCATCATGATGCCCTTAGTGCAAAAGCCCTGCTGCTGAAGATGTGGGTCTGAAGAGGCCCTTCTTCCCCACTTGTCCCCTTTCCTGCCGTGTGATGTTTAAGCTTTGCAATGGTCCTCATCCTTGCACCTGCACAGGCTTGAAGGAGCCTTTCTGTTTTATCCCAGAGCTTTTAGGTGCAGTTAAGGGTCTTCCCCACTGCCTGGCAAGCATCAGTTTTAGGTGATTGATCTTCAGATCTTCTGTTCTAGAGGCAAAGTAACAGTTCTTTAAGGGAACAATCTTGCTTTGTCAACAAACTAATGTGAAGCTGGCTTGACATAGCTTAAAAATGAAATGTGAACTAGCAGCTGCCTTCAGACTTTTCCCATGGGTGACGGTATCTTGCCCCTTGTAGCCACTGCAGATCACCAGCAGAGAGGGAGCTGCTGGCTTCCCTTGCCTGGCGAGGGGAGTGTTGGGGTGTTTCAGGACAAAACTGTGTGATGTTCCTTTGTGTCATCACAACTGAAATTCAGATAAGGACAATAGCCCTGCAGTACTTGGGTTCACATATAGAGACACCCACTGGGGCAGTGATGGGGCAAGGACAAAGAGGGATATGTTTTTCCTAATGAAAATGAAATATTACGCATATCTAAATTTTTGAGGAATATTGCCTTAGTAAATCTGTATAGGGAGAAGTGTTGAATTAATTGGTTGGTGTGAAAAGACTGAAATATTTTCTCAGCAAGCCCTGCCAACTATTAGGGATTGCCTCTGCCCCTCAGTAGGTACCTCAATAAGGAAATATAAATTTAGTTTTTTCTCTGTGTCCTGAATCACCAGATCCATCAAAAACCATGGGAAACTTTTCTGTGGACTGGATTGGCACTGAACTAGTCCTAGTAATAATTGACAGCTTGTGGCTGACCCCTGTAGGACTTGTTTCTCTTGACCACCTCTCATTCAGCTGTTCCTCCAGCAGGCTGCGAGCAGAATTTGAGCTGGTTTTCCTGAAATAGTACTTCTGGTAGTAACAGGATCAAAACACTGTCACCTCTTCTCTCTCCTCCCAAATGTATTTCCAAGAGGGCTTGTCATCTGTCATGGATCTGGCTATGCAAACTTGTCTTCTTTGGCTGAACCCTCAGCTATCCTTATTTCCAGGAAAGCTGGTGGTGCCGCAGGTTACCCTGTGCCAATCTCTTCCCACAGAACCATTCCACACTCAGCTGGGGTGCAAGTGAGCCAGCAAGTCCAACAGAATGACAGATGTCCTTAAACAGAAATACCTCAAAGCTCCTGTGGGTATGCATGTATGCATGTGTGTATAAAGAAACCCAAAACAACAAACACTCAGAAAGTATTCAAAGAATGAAATTGCTAATTAGCAGTAATTCTTACTTTGTTCTCTTGGGTGTGAAATGATGATAGAGCAGGCAGCTGCAACTGAAGCCTCCCTTCAAATGCTGAGATGGTCTGTTTCCTGGCATAGTTGGGACCTTCCTCTTTTTGTTTTTCTTAAATAAAAACTTCCAGCTCACATTTTTGCTCAAACAATCATAAGCTCAATTTAATTGCAGTTGTTTTCAGTATTGCTCTCAAGTCTTTCTGCACATTGAGATGCCAAACCTGAAAGGATCCTTCTCTAAGCACCATCCCTTGGGTGACACCCCCCCTACCTTCCCCCCAGCACGGCCTCTGCACATAGGGTGTCTCCCCTCAGCTGCATGCTCAACGCCCACCCTCACACTGAGTTTTTCAGCTAAGCCAGCAATTCCCTGCAATGCACTCAGCGCAGAGGATTTTCCTGGGGTCATGTGGCCAAGGTGCTGGACTGGGATTTGTTCAGTTTTTGGCTCTTTGGCAGTTTTTGTGTGTCTTTCCTCCCTTGTCTGATGTGAAAGGTGTCTAAAGGGAACATTATGAGTGCTAATGTCATGATACTTATAAAGTGTAACTTCTGTGAGGTTGACTTCCTTCGTGTTGGGAAGGATGTTGAACCATGTGGCTACTATCTGGAACAGGCTGGGCTCAATGGCTTACTGCTAATTGAGTAAGTAAGAACAGAATTAGACTGCTAAACATTGCTCTAGGACTGAAGACTGGGATTACAGTGCTAAATATTGCTTCAGAGGGGGGAACTTTGGCTTTTCTGCTAAGTTGCTACCTCACAGTGCCTAAAAATCCTGACCTCAGAGTCTCTGGTCGTGGTCAAAGGTCCAGTTCTCTGCGTGCTTTAGCTACTGGTGTTGATGGGTTTCCTAAGCACAGAATCACGTTCCCAGCCTGCATTGGTGGAAAACATGCTGCTGGCACACGTGTATTGCAAAAGAGTGGGATGTGTCAACATAGCATTGAGGGTGTTGCTCTTATATTATTGTATTTATTAACCTGAGTCTAACTTGAGTTCTTTCATTCTGCTGCCTCCCTTCTGCAATTGAAAGACTGGGTGGGAGAGCAAAATGGAGGGACTTCCAGTTGGCTTGAACTGATAGTCTTTCATCTTTCTCCAGGAACTGACCTTCAGTTTGATTGGAGAGAAATCTTCATTTGTGAAAGCATCTCTCGTTTCTCCTGGTTTTTTTTCAATTATTCTCACATGTATATTCCTGACACTGCTGCGAGTGCAGTGATTAGCTGGTACTTAGAGGAACTGTTGTATCTCACCATGACTAGGAGATGTGTTCGGAAGCAGCAGTTAGTGTGTGCAAAGGGCAACGTGCTGGACATTGAGGGTTTGGCTTAGGTTGATATTTTTGTTTCGTCCCATCCCTTCTTTCCCACTGGAGAGCTCTGCACTTGCCAGATCAGGCTCCTAGTGACTGTGAGATAATGGGCTTAGCAGATGCCTTCCCTTTTGTGCTGTGTTTGTCACTGTGTGAAAGGGTAAAGCAAGCGTGCCTTCGTGAGTCCTGCTTCCCATCAGGGTCTATTTTAGTGCTGTGGAATTGGACACAGTAAGTCACCGAGTCCCTAAAATCCTTAATGAAGCTTTAGTCCATCTCACCTGAGATGTGGCATTTCACAGCAGAATTGGGATCACTTAGCTGGAAAGCACCAACATTCCTGTTTACTGGCACTTTTGCTTAGCTTTGACTTTTTTCTCCCCATCAAGAGAAAGATGGTTACTAGAAGGGTTTTAGTGGATTTAACCATAAGCTCAAAGCTATTAAAGTATCTGCCTTGTTTTCTTTCTTAGTCTGTTTTCACCAGCCCTGCACTGGCCAGTGAAACGGGATCTAAGAAAAGGTGTGAGGCCTTCACCAGATGCATGTCATCTTCCCTGACTTTGTAAAACATACATGAGAGAAGGGTAGCTCTTTGTGATGGGGGAGCGTAAGGGCCAAGACAGCAAACTTCCATGACTTCTGTAACACCATCTGTAACAGCCTTTTGTTTTGAGTTGTATATCAACCAGTGGGGAGAAACCTCTGAGTAAAGCTGGGAATGAGGCTTTTCCATGCCTAGTTTTGTGAAGGAGAAGACTGGTTTTGCTAGGATTTCATGGTGCATTTGTCTTCCTCTTGTTGCAGGTGAAGCTGGTGCCAGCATTATCCGGGTGTCAAAAGAAGCCCGGAAGAGGTTCTTGGGCCCACTGCACCCCTCTTTCAACTTGGTGAAGACCATTCGGATCTGTCTGTCCAAGACCGTGCCAGAGAATGGGCATGAGGTTGCAGCAGGACGTTTGGGTATTTCCCTGACACGGGTCTCCGATGGAGAAAATGTGATACTTTCAGATTTCAATTCCAAGGAGGAACTGATCCAGGTGAATGAAAACTCACTGCAGAGGGCTAGGCAGAAATGCCTTGATCTTCAAATGTCCTTAGTACTGGAGTATAATTGTCAGCACATGGCAGTGTGATGTTCTGGGAAGAGTAATAGTTTCAGTAGGCTTTGTGATTCTTAAATTCTGGATCTCTTTCTCCCTCAGGCCTGTGTCTGCAGCACCTTTATCCCCGTCTACTGTGGGCTGATACCTCCAACTTTGCGTGGAGTGGTAAGTAAGACTTAAAGTGGTCCTTCATTAAATCACATAATAATGAATAAGAAGGCAGAAATGCTGATATTCAGTTTTGGCAATCTTATTGCTTGTGTGCTGGCAGCATTTAGCCTGAAGAGACAGGAGAACTTCCCAAATAAACAGTTTACAACAGTGGAAGTTTCTTTCCACTGCTGCCCACAGTTGGCTATAAATAGATTTAACATGATAATATATAGCAGTGTGTGTGAGGGCTGGCTGGCTTAGCAGATGGTTCTCATGGCTGCATGGTACAGTGCTCTCCATCACTGAGGCTCCATCTGCATGTGGAAAGAACTTGGGTCTTGGATAGAAGGCATGAGTGTAGTCCCTCTAACATGTGCCTGACACTTTCTGTGGGATTTTAACTAGTGGTATGGATACCAGCCCTCTTTTCCATGGAGTTCTTCTGTCCTTTCCCTGACAATAATGTTCTGCTGCCTGCCAGAGCTTTCTTTAAGTCCTGTCCAACGCTGTCCAAGAGCAACTTCTCCCACTGTGTTTGCATGTTAGAAATGAAGACATTTGAAAGCTGTGCAGAGCTGGAGCATTTCTGAATATTGCAGAAAGGACTTTAAGGGCCTTGGCTGAGCTTGCATTCCCTTGTGCTACGTAGGTTTATGCACAGGTTAAAAGGCAGGGTTTTTGCGAACTAAATAATCAAAAGGAGAGGGAGAACTGCTGTTAAAGTATGTGTGCCCTGGTTTCTCAAAAGTGGCCTGACCAAAATGCCTCTGTCAGAGCACAGCATCAAATCTGCTTCCACTGCTACCTGTGTCCTAAGAGTGAGGTCTGTTTTGCTCCTGCATAATACACAGCTTGGCTGTTTTTGTCTTGTGTAAACATGCTGGGCAGGGAAATGACCTGGAAGAGATGTCCAATGTCCAGCCCTTCAGAGGTGACAGAATCAGTAATGATTTGGTATTTGCTCAGCAACTGCAGGCAGGGCTTTTTCTCCATAGCTGGTGGGAGCATAGCAGTGACTCTTGCCTTACACCTCTTTGAGGCTAATTAAGGTCAGTGTGGATCAGGCAAAAATCTCAACATTCCAAAACTCTGTACAGCATTGGGATTTCTGGAATGTGCAGCTGCCCTGGCACACGAGGCATGACTTCTCATGGGGAAAGGTGGGGAGGGAATATGAGATTAAGAAATTAATTCCTACCTCTTCCCCAGAAAAGCATGGCTCTGAAGGGGGTTGCTGACAAGGGAAAAGGTTAAATTGGGTTGGGTATGAGCTTGGGAAATGGTTTTGAAACAGGACTGCATGGTTCCTAGCTTGCCTATGGTGACTGTATTTGCCACAAGCTGACAGGTCTGGCATAAGGACCAGTTTTCAAGGTGACGGGATTGTGTGCAAGGTACAAAATCCATATTCTGCCTTCCTCCTAACTTCTCTGAGGTCTGGTAGCCCCATGGAATGGATGATGGAGGTGGGTGGGGGAGGAAAAAAAAATCTTAAATACTGAGGAGTGGAAGGGTCAGTAACTGACCTGCCAACACATGCTGTAGCTGTGAACTGTCTGCAGCACGTGGGTGAGAACCACTACCAAGGGTTACAAAGCTGATTGTCAGATCATGTAAGTGAGGGGGCCCTGTGCATGGCAGGACACAGTAAAGGAATGGAAGTGGGCACCCCAGTCCACAAACCATCCCTAAAGCTCTGCTCATGCCTGCAAGCAATTGGGTGGTTCCAGCCTGTGGCTCTGAGCTGTTTGGGGTTTTGTGGGAGACTGCAGAGTGGTTAGGCTTGGGTTGCTGGAGGTTCAGGCAAATCCAAAGAAGTGGTAGCTGAGCTTTACTAAGGAATGGTAATCAGCATTGCTTGGGAAGTGGTGGACCTAAGAGTAGGGTGTGCATGTGTATTCCTGAATTTCTGTGGAGTGAAAAGGCTTTGCCTGTCGGCCTTATTGTAGTTGAGCCTTTTTTCTAATGGCATCCGTGCACTCATGCTGCCACCCTCAGGGAAACATGTCTTTCTGCATCCTTAGTGCAAAACTAGTGTTGTCCAAGTGGCCAAAACACTTAACCTCCTTTTTCTTTAAAGAAAGAGGAATGCTGCCTGCTTTGCTCTGTCCTCTTCCCACTCAGCCTGTCATGATCTCATCCTTGCAGAGGGAGTCAGCTCTAGCTGTGTCTAGTCTGGCTTTCAGTGGAGCAGCTTTGGGGAAAGGATGACAATGACAGTTGGCTGTGGTTGCTTTTGGCTTAGGGAACACTGCTGGCCACTTTAGAAGGAGGAGAAGGTTCAACTGATTGTTGGCACCTCTTTTGTCTGGAAAGCGTCCTGTAAGCAAGCTAAACGTTACAGTTTCTGAAAGGATGTACTCATCCTTGAGTTTAATCTAGCCTGTCCTTCCACATTCTTCACTGTCCAAATCCAGGTGGATTCCTATAGCTGAATTTGACTGCTTTCAGACTAAGAGCCTGCAAACTGCTCCCCAGGCTCAGATGAGCTTCTTGGAGAGTTCTCTGTCTTGTCTGCCATCCAGAGCAAGAGAGAACAAATTGCAAAGCACCCTCCAGGCAACACATCTGGTGTTTTCTTAGGCACTGTGCAGCAGAAGGCTGTTGGTGGTCAGTCTGCCTGAGACAACAGGAAGCGGGATGCAGAATGGAGCACCTCCTCTCCCAGTCAGCATTTCCATGCTCTGCCTGGGTTTAGACATACCAGCTCAGCTCATCACCCATCAGAGAGCTGAAAGATGTTACAGCTCCTACCTATGGGACTGTGTAGCCCCTGTATAATGATTTGTGTTTGAACCTGTCCAAAGGGAAGTAAATGGCAGGATCAACTCTGATACAAAACTGACAGGACTCTTCTGTAATTGAAGTTTGCAAGAGCTGGAGTTGTTGCTGTGCAAAGGTCTCAAACTTCCTGCTCTTTTGGCTTGACCAACATCCCTTTGCTTTCAGGTTTTGCATATTGCTTACTCTGCCAAAGTCCTGTGATAGGAATTGACTTGCTCAGCTCCTTGTGCAATTATAGATTCCAACGAATATTTTGAGAACATGCTACTGGGGTTGCCCTTCCTGCAAGGGTAACACAAATGTGTTTATGGTATATAAGTACAGAACATCCTCTGATAAGAGGGTTCCTGTTAAGAGCAAAACCCAAGTCCCATGTGCTCTGTTATCACACCACAGCAAGTTGATTCCCAATGTGTATGCGTGTGTTGGGATTGCTGCTTGATAAGCCTGCTAGCAACAAATCAGTTGTTTTCACTCTTAGGTAACAAGCCTTCTGCCAGTGGGGACTTGCGTCTGAGCTTATGCACTTTAAACACAAGTGAAAAATGGCACAATGTCACAGTGTGACAGCTTAGATCAGTGCTAATTTGCACTGCAGGTGGTTGTTGGTGTGTATTATTATTTAATTGGACAGTAGTCAAACCCCATAGGAGATGTTAAGTCAGCAGTCACACAAGTGAATATGCTTTTCTTATTGAATACTTACAACCAACACTGTCAACCATGGGAAGAAAAGCACCTAGCAAAAGAAGATTATAGGCAACACAGCTATGCTGTCACTCATTTTGACTCCTCCAGTGCTGGTGTATGTACTCCATACTCTTCCTATTTGTGCCAACAACAGGGGAAGGGGGACACAGTAAAAAAGCTGCTTGATCAGTTAGGAGAATGAAGATTGCTGCATTTGTCTTGATTTCAGAGATACGTTGATGGAGGGATTTCTGACAATTTGCCACAATATGAGCTGAAGAACACAATCACAGTGTCTCCATTCTCGGGAGAGAGTGATATATGTCCACGGGACAGTTCCACAAACATGCATGAGCTGAGAGTCACCAATACAAGCATCCAGTTCAACCTTCGCAACCTCTACCGCCTCTCAAAGGCCTTGTTTCCTCCAGAGCCACAGGTGAGTTTCCTGGATACACTAGAAGTTGGGGAACAGTACGTAGGCACTGGCTCTGCTGTGCACTTTAGCAGAAGAACATTCCAGACACTGTTAGTTTTGTATCTTCTGTTTGTCTGGTTTTTAATTTTGACATTATCTACCCAGTGACTTGGCAAACCTTGAGTACCTGCACAAGGTCATATACATGGATTGATTTGCTTTTGCTGCTAGAACATCTGGAATTTAGGGGGTAGCAGTTGCTTGGGAAGTATACCCATGTTGCTCTCTTTAGAGTAGAGCTGGCAAGAAATCAGGCTCACTTTAGACAAAGATGTATCAGCCATCAGAACCAATGTGCACTTGAGGATGTTTTAAGGTCAGGATGGAGCTGCCAGCCCAGTGCCTGTCTCCTAAAAAGCATGAGTGGAGCAGGTGGCACTGCAAACAGCTTTGTGTGCTTTTGAGGAAATGTTAATGCCAGAGAGCCCTGACATTTGGGCATAATAAGCATGCATTCATGTGCTGAATTACTTTAACAAGTTTGTTCCCACCCCCTCTCTAGTCTTAGCTGGCTTTATCTGCAAACACAGTGGCCCTTCCTGGTATCTGCAGGTATTCTGGGCTTCTTGTTGGAGTGACTGGCTGAAGGCTGCCCACAGCAGCATCAGCTCTAGGTGGGGAAATGAGGTGGCTGCAACTCTTAAGCCCATACTTAGGTAGGATTCCAAGTGTCCCTTCCAATCTAAATTATCTTATGATTCCCATATCCAGTGTATTCATGTTATACCTCCCAGTCCTGCTCAAAGCCTGGGAAGAGCTGACAAGAATGAGACTTGTTCTTGGGATAGCTCAGGAGTCAGGAGAATTCCTCTAAAGCCAGCATTGAGCTAGGTGTTTTCTCTGCTCAGCCAATTTCCAGATGACTTACTCTTCCCTTCCTCTGCCCACAGGTGCTGCGGGATATGTGCAAGCAGGGCTATCGGGATGCACTGCACTTCCTGAAGAAGAATGGTAAGGCACGGGGTGTTGTAGGGTGGGTTGACTTGCCTGTTCTGTGCCAGGCTTGGTGCCTTAGCTTTGAGGGTAGTCGATTGTGCATATGAAAGGTAGAAGTGCAGAGCTGAACTGTGCCTCAGATACTGGGATATGGAATTTTCATTAAAAAGGCTATTTTAGCTCTTCAGGAAGCAGAGGTGGAGTGGTCACCTTTGCATTTGCCAGCACAGTTGTTGGGCACCAACCAATGCCATTTGGACCTCCTGCAGATACCCTGCTCCTTTGCACATGCAGCTGGGCTGTGTGTAATGCTGCCCTCAGCAGCCCCAGCGAAGTGCTGCTGTGTCACTGCTGTCATGTGCCAGCCCTGGGCTCTTGCCTCCAGCTGCTGTAGCGGTAGGTGTGTGCTTGCTGCCACCTCGTGTCCACAGACAGTGGATCAGGCACTTTCTGCTCCCAGATTTGAACCGGAATAACTGGGATAACAACGGTCATACAGCTGTGTGTGTGGATTGTGCTGCAGGAGGGAAATCTTGCCTGCAAGATTGGTGGCTGGCAGATTTGAGCAACAAAACTCTGCCAAACAGCACTCTGCAGAACGTAAAGGGGAAATGTGAGAATCTCTGGTGGGGAAAGAGAGAATTATCCTATAAGAGCAAGGTTTCTAGCTCATTGTGGTAAGCATTACAGCAGACAGAAGCTAAAGAGGCTGGGTAAGGCCTCAGCCTCAGGGGAGTTAGGGTGAAGTGAGGACTAATACTCTAAAGGCCAAGCAAGGCAGGACAGCCAGTTTGAATCCTTCTTAAGGTATGACTTCTCTTCTCAGGTCTCCTTCATCGTCCAAGTCCTGCCCGTCCTCTCCTTGCCATAGAAGCTCCCCCAGGAGAGAAGAAAGAGGAAGAAACAGAAGCTGAGGACCAACTAGAGGAAAATACTGCCCTTGCTGTTGTTGAAGAACACATCTTTGAACACTTGCCTCCCAGACTGAACCAAGGTATAATTCAAAGGATTCAGAGGATCACTGGAATGTGTGGTTATTGCTTATGGCTGGGCTTGGCCATACTCAGGGACTGGACCAGCACCTCTTGATTGTTAGATAGAATTGGGGGTCTCTTAGATGAAGTTGTAGCTTACCCTGTCGGGGCTGGATTGGGAGAGGTTGACTCCTTTGACAGTGTTCTGCATGGTAAGGAGAGGAGGGAATCCTGTTGCTTGCTCCTCTGGAGTCTGATAGACCTAAAGGCTGTTGTTCTCAGCTGTGCTCAGGGAATCACTAACCTGAGCAATACCTCCTTAAGATAGGGAAGGTGGCAAGGGGAGACCTCAGGCTGGGTAACTTCTGGGGTATGACAAGGAAAGAGATAGACCTACTAGGGGGATGCAGCCATATTTTCTTCTGCCTTCAGCTCTTCTGGAGGCTTGTGCTGAAAGAAGAAGTTTCTTGACTGGCCTCACCAACATGCTGCCTGTACGTGTGGCCACGGCGATGATGGTGCCCTATATGCTGCCTCTGGAGTCTGCGGTTTCCTTCACTGTCAGGTAAACCTTCAGCTGGTCCCTCAGCGGGACTCTTCCCAGTGCAGTGAAGTGTTTGATGTAGCTGGTGGAGCATGAATGGACAAAGAGTAGGATCCTCTCTAATTCTGCAGTGCCAGAGTTCCTGGGGAAGGAGTTCCCAACAATTACCAGACATAGGGGAAAAAAACCCCAACCCCCCAAAAAAACAAACTGCACAGAAAAACCAAGAACTCACAACTTTTCCTATCTTCCTGCATTATTCAGTTACAGCCAATACTTCCAGCGCGAAGGAAGATGGCTGTGTGCTGGAACTTGCCCTAGAAGAGGGTGGTAAATTTTTGAACCTTGAGAGAAACTTCTGATCTGGGAGTGTAGGAATGAAATTAGGAACCACACAAGAGGTTGTTTCCCTTTGGAGTGAGGGGTAGAGTAGTCCCAACCATTTCCAACTCTATTCATACACAGCTGGGAAGACAAATTTGTCAGGCTTGTTCTTGGTATGAAGTATCCTATGAAAAGTTGCACAAACTATCTCCTAACAGATAGAAAAGCTAGAGAAAAACACTTTCTGAATCTGAAATTGGATGAAAAATAGGGAAAGTGCAGACAGAAAATGTAAAGAATAATCTTCTGGGCTGTTCTCAACCTTCACAGCTTCTCCCCCTTAATTCTGTGAACGGTAGTGTAAATGCCTCAACACATTTGTCACTAAAAATAATTGAGAAGAGGCAAAACTGGCATTCTTTTCATCCTGTTCCTTTATGTGGTGCAGCTAATGGTTGTCTCTGGTCTCTTTACAGGCTGCTAGAATGGCTCCCAGATATTCCTGAGGATATTAGATGGATGAGAGAGCAGATGATTGAAATCTGCAACTACTTCGTGAAGAAAGCCAAGAAGAAACTGGGCAGCCATCTTTCAGCCAGGTATGGCTGCTTTCCTTCACAGCATTGTTCTGGACGAGTCCTCCTTTCCCCTTTCACCTTTGAATTCTAGAGATTCAACTCCTTTGAAGCAGAGAAAGTAAGGCACAAATTGACCAGAAGGATTTACTGCCCAACCTGAAATGTAAATCTGGTCCATGGTCTCTAGGCTTCTGATAGACTCAGCACAAGGTCTTCTTCCTTCTTCCCATTATAGGGCAGACCCTGTAACGAAGCTGTTACTTTAGCAATAGGGCAGAAGATGTAAGTCTGATTAAAATAGCATTCTAGTTTATTGTATGCTCCCTATAGAAGACAGAGGTGCTTGTCTTTGTGGCATTTTCTGGCCCGGGGTCCCCCAAAAGTCCCTTCCAAGAAGTACTTGTGTTCAAATGACCTCTTCTGCCTCAAGATCTCGGCCTGGTTTAGAGTGGGGAGGCAATGTGGTGGCCAGGAAACAACAGTTTCCAACGAGTGCTTTGGGTCTGTGTGTGTTCCTGTGCTTATGAACTGAACGCCCTGCAATAGCCCATGGCTTGAGGCTGTGGGAAGACTGTTGTGTGAATGAAGGTAGGAAGAGATCAGAGTTGTAGGCAGAGGCTCCTGGCTGTGATTTGGATCCTAGTACAAGGGTGTGATTCTTATCCACAAGAGCTGAGTTGTGAGGAGGAAAACAGACGCACACACACAGACTTCTGACTACAGTCATGCAGTCAGTGGTAGTATGAAATAGGGCTGTGGTTCTGGAGCTCTGGTCTGGTACCTGCTCAAGCCTTCCCATGTACTGATCCTTTGCATGTATTTGTCTTTCAGGCTTTACTATCACCTCGAGCTTGGAGGGCCCCAGAGCCTGCCAATTCCTTCCTCGCCACCTTGTGGTGAAGCACTGCCCGTGTGGATGAGAAGCACTCGTTCCGTGTCTGATGTCATGATGAAGTGGGAGGAGTACCAGCGCCAGCTCATGCTGGGCTTACTCTGCATCAATGTGGACATGCAGGCCTCCCTCTTCCCTCGGGAAGGGTTGCAGATCAAGCTTCCACCTCTAGACTGTGCGAAAGAGTGCCTGCCACTCTTCTGATCCTGCTGCCATGAGGGGATGAGGGTGGGTGGGAAGGGGAGCGTACACTGGGTGGGACCAGTCTCATCCCTCAGCAGCAGGCTGCCCTGTGCTTCTGAATATGCTGCAAAGGGGATTTCCCCAGGATAGAGACTGGTGGAATCGACTGTAGCCATTTGTTGCCCGCTGGGCCAGGCAAGGGATCTCTGTGTTCAAAGGCACACACAGGCTGATACCTTGTTCTAGACTTGCATTGAGGCCTGGCCATTGCCCGTGGCCAGGCTGATGCTGACTCAGCTGGGCTCTCCCAAATAGTGCACTTTGAATTGCCGTTGGCTTTTTACTGCAAAATAATCAGGATGTAGATGACGCTTTCAAGTTCATACAGCTTTTAGCTTCCTTTGTTTTTCAGAGCATGTGTCTCGGTTCTTTTCCTTAAATCATCTGGCATCCCTTAGCTCTTTGTGCTACTGAAAGATGAAGTAGCCTCTTGCCAAACCAATTTTTCTTGTGGCTTCCAAATCTCCTCTTCAGTTTCTTCTTTGCTGAACCATGTCCCTCTCTCTCCTAACTGCATCCACACTGGAAGCCAGAGCTGGCCCTGCTGCAGACTGCACTGGAACTGGAAAAGTGTAGAAAAGCTATGTATTTTCCATGATTCATGTTGTAATGGTCTCTCCCTTTTTGACTTTTGTACTCAAGGAACTGCTGCAACTTGAACTCTGAGTGTTAAGTAAGTCACCGAGCTTATTTAAAGAAGTAATTGACAGATTTTTTTTTTCCCCAGGGAAACATGTTAAATTTGAGGCTCCATTCCTGTCAGTGTGAATGGAATTAGTGTGGGTTTGCCCTGGAAAAGCTTAGCCTGACTATCTCAGGATTAGTTTAGCAGCTGAAGCAATGTGAAGTGCTTGTAGGAAGGTGAGATTGTGCAGGGCATGTTATTTTTGAGAGGCTTCTGGTGGAGTATCACAGCAAGTGCTGGGGAAGTGACTGCCTCTGATAGGGGTTGGTTGAGCTTTGCTCCTTAAGGGACTGTACAACTGAGGGAAATTCCAAGTGGGTGATACAGAATGGATCTCGCCAAACCGAGGCTTCTATCTGTCTTTTGCTCAAGAATTTTTGGTTGTTGAGGCTTTGAAGTGAGAAAGATTTAGGCTTGTAGCTACACTAGCCTCACAGCTTGCTCGTCTTGTGTTGTGGCTCACAGGTACAGCTCTGCAGCTGGCAATAGCAGGAGCACAGAAGTGAAGTGACGGGACTGTTGATGCACATGCAGCCCACTTGGAACTGGCTACTCCTTGTCTTGCCCCTTAAAAGACCAGTGCTAGTGGGTCTGTAGCAGGGCAGGACTGTGCCTTGGAAGGCACTGCCTTCTCAGCGGTGGTCTGGTCGTGACTTGCTGTGTAGAAGTATGAACTTCCCTGTTCTTTACAGGGTGAGACATGGCTTCCTGCAGGGATTGCATGTATTTAAGCTTAAGTCTTCGCACTGTGACACAAACCCAGCTCCTGGTATTTCTTTCTGCAGCTTGTCCAGCTACATGAGGCATCTTCTACCTCTCCCAGCAGAAAGTGTGCAACTGGCCAAAGCAAACATATGCTGTCTTTGCTGGGGAGCAGGACAGGATATCTGAAGTTGATTACATAGCCTATGCCTGGAATAGTGATTTATAATTTATAGACTCTGTTTTGCACCTTAGATTTAGAAAGGGAGAATAACACGAGAAGCTCCACTAACAGCTGGAGAAAGTAGCAAATCTGCTCCATCGTGTCTGCATGAGCAGTGTGGGTGAGGTGGTGGGTGCTGTTTCCTATCAGCACAATTGTGCACTGGGCATGGTTTTGGTGTTTGCGTGGAGATTCTGATAGGCATTGAGACTTTTCAGTAGTGGCTGTTCCAAGCTGGGAGGCAATGGAGTGGGCAGCTGTGGTGCTGCCCAGGAGATGCCAGTGCAAGTATGAATTTGTGACTTAGATTATTACCCCAACTGCCCTTTCTGGATGTAACCTACCTATGTAACACAAGGGCCTGCATAGCCTATAAAGTGGGCCTGCACTTATGCAGTCAGATTTAGTCTTAAGCTTTGCATAGTTAAGTCAATTAGGGAACAGGGAAGTTGCAACAGGAAGAGGAAAAAATTGGAGGATTCTGAAATCAGAATAGGAATATTGGATTACAAAACAAGTAAATCTTGTAATTGTCTAAAGCCTGCAGAAAAAACTTACTGCTAGATCTATGTAACTAATGGAAGTGAACCAGCAACAAGCTACTTACACTTAGTGGGAGCAGGATGAATTTGATGAAAATGGGAATTGAGAAAAGGTGTTCATTTTGTGGTGGGATTCCTTTTCTTCCACTGTTTTGGACTGTCTTTGGGGGAATGGCTGCACAGCGGCTTACTTTGCCAAAGGCATATCTCTTGTCCCTAATGCATACAGAGCAATTGGCAAGAACATATGGATATTTAGTGGCAAGAAATTAAGGCATTTTATCTGAAGCAAAACATCTGAGAGGGACAAAGCTGCATAAGGAAAATCCTGTGTTTATAAGCTGCTGTCCTTTTGACTTTGCCTTTTTTGTGTTAATATATGGGTGGAGAAAATGATGCAACTTATTTTTTTTATCCCTTCTTCCTGGACTGGTAAAACCACTGAGTGATTATGTAAACCACTAAACTATGAAACAAAATACTCTTGGCAACAGAGTGTGCTAAGAAGTTGCAGCTTGGCACCCTTATCCCCTGGATTTCCTCTGTTTGCCTTTTGCATCAGAACTGACTGGTCTGGTGCCGACTGGGCTGATGCCACTTCTTCCAGTGCTTTGACCCAGAAGGCTTGCAGGTTCTGGTTCATGTATTTCAAGACACTAAAAAGGCCTGAGTTTTGTTTTGTGTTTCACCTCATCTGGAGTTTAGTTTATGATACTAACTTCTGAAAGAGAAACTTTTATACACTTCAAACTGTAACCACAAACCAAAGCCTGACTTTAAATATAAAGGTCTAACTTTCACAAGGAAATTCCTGTTTTTCCTATGCTAATTTGCAGGGTGTGAACGGATACTGGGAAAGCACCACTCTGTATTAACCCTTTCTTTGCCTGTTTTTGTTGCCCAAGTGATAAAATGGCTGTCGTGCGATAGCTTGTTGGCTCTGATAAAGGAACTGCAGGCCTGTAAAAAATACCTCAAACTACCCTCATCTTTCTTTTGAGAAGTTTCACCCATTTGCTTGAAATTCTTGCTGCTTGTTCATCACAGATGAAGGAAGTAGGGAAGATCACCTTGTCCACTGATACAGAAAAAGAATTGTAGCAGCTTTTGAAGAAATAGTTTTTTGTTATGCAGTACTGCCTTATCTAGATGAGACCTCACTCCTTTTGAAATCTCTGGAAACCTTGTGGTAGAGTCTGGATTAGATATGGAGGTGTTTATTGTGATAATGCTAACTGAAAATTCTTCAAAACTTTGTTCTATGTGTACCTCATGGCGTGCAAAGTTGTCTTCTGGGCAGACACTGCTGATTAACCTACACTTGCCAAGTTCACAGGAACAAGGTCATCTGTAGCAGTCAGTCCCTTCTTCAGCAAAATGTGTGGCTGGGCAGCTGATCAGGGGGTTGCCAGGGCCTATCTGCTCTCCGGTGTATGGTGGGAGAGAGGTTAGGTTTCTGTTCATGCAGCCCATGTCCAATTATCCTTATAGCATTCACTGGACTCCTGCAGGAGTCCCAACCCTTGCTGTTTCCACTGTTTCACATAAAGGGTCTGTGCATTCAGGAATCCACTTTTTTTTTTTCTCTTTCCTGTGTTATTACTTGCTGTTTTTAACAAGGCTAATGGTGAACTTCTTGTGCATCTAACTAGCCCCTAACCTGCACAACACTGTAGAGTTGTTTTGTGTACAACAGTCCATACCTATGACATGCTCTGTAACCCAAAATTAGTGTGTAGGATGTTGGGTTTGGTTTGCTGCCTGCCCTACTGCTAATACTGTTAACAAGCTGATTTTTCAAGGGATAGGAGAAAATACTGACCACCATGTATAGCACCTAGAATAGTTTTCTCGTGGTTTCTTGGAGGGCTGTGTACCTGCAACACTCAGACCAGAGAATAAAAGAGAATCTGCTGTCTGACAGCACTGGGGTGTTCCTAGTACTTGTATATTTCCCAGTGGTTTTGTTCATTTTTAAAAATTAATCTAGTAATTCACTCCTTTCTTTGAGAGAAGAGCTCTCACTTTTGCCAAAGTGGTTTGGGAGAAATACCTGAAACTGTATGTGTTTTTTCCCTTAAGGGTCCATTTCTGCTAAACGTGCTAGATGTGGAGGGTGGCAGGGCTGTGCGTTGCCAAAGTGAGAGGACCTTCCCAACAGTTTTCTCAAGCTTAGTTTCTGTCTTCCCCTTAAATCAAAGAGAGAATGGACCACCTCACCTGGCTGCCATGTCAGCCAGCTTGTTTGTGCCAAACACACCCTGTGCCTTTACAGTGGGCTCTGGCCTGCCTGCCCTCTGTGCCCCTGCAGTGTCTGCCTTTCTGAGTGCAGCAGTACTTACTCCCCTCTGCTCTGCCTCCTTCCCCTTGCCTACTGGTGGGACGTTGCTCCACTTCCACGCTGCAGGCAGCTCTACTAGGACAGCCTCCAACTGCGTCCATCTCACTCTGTGGATCCACATCAGCCCTCCTGCACAGGGTGAGGAGGAGACCTCTAGTTCCAAATAGAAGACTTGGAAATGTAACCTTGAAATAAATTCCTGTTTCTTCTGGGGTTTTCTCTTGCTCTTGAAAACAGCATCTAAAACAGCTGTTTGAGCTAAATGTGTCCTGGGGCTCCACTGCTGCAACTGAGTTTCAGAAGACCCTTAAGCACACAATACACGTGGAGATCCTGTGGAAATTACTGATGTCAGAGCAGCAACCAGACCAGCAATAGCATACACAAGTCACGTATTTATACACAGCAATGTCACTAAGTAGTGTTCACAGTCACTTTAAAAGTTCAGTATTAAATTGTTGATGCTTTTTTTTCTCTCCTGTTTCTATTTTCTAATGTTTTGCTGAAGAAAATGTAACTATTTATTTTGGCAGAAATATATCTTCTAATAAAAACTTTCTCAATATATTTACCTGGCTGTGGTAGGTTGTCTTGCTATTTAAAGGTTTATTAAATACTTTTTGAATGCACTGTATGATGTGGGTTTGTTTGGCCAGGGGCCCCCCCTTCAAATTTGTCTCAGGGTAAACATGTATCAGCATGTGATGAATGGGGCATTGACCTGGAGGTGAAAAAATGGTGCATTTTGGTCCAGTTCTGACTTCCTCCAGCTGAAATGACCCACATGCTATCACCCTCTGTTTATTGGAGCTTCTGGGTAAACCCTGGTTTCCGGGAGGACTTAGGCACCATCTTGTGGGAATAGCAGGTGCTTGGCACCTGTGAAAGGGTCAGTAAAAAGTTATTCACAAGTTTGAAAGTTCTCCACTACAGGGGCCTCTCTTGAGGAAACTGAACCTGTCTCTTACGCCTCTGTTTACAAGTGGGTGAAATAGATGGTACTGCCTGTGGTGTGTCTGCCTCTTTTGGTCAGATACCAAGGTCTGCCACGGTTAATCTCCAGCTGGAGCACGTGGAAACCACCGGGTCTTGGGTTGTGGGCTCTTGGGTTAGGGGAAAGTCGTGGCTTTCCTTGGTGCCAGCCCAGGGAGCTGCGTCCAGGCTGCACAGCTGGGATCCCCGGGAACAAGACAAATAGCCCCACACCGGCCGGGGGTTGCCGCTGCGGGGTGTCTGCTGGACGCTGCGGGGCTCGGGCTTGTCTTGGTCCAGGCTTTTGACAGCAGTAAACTTTAGGAAGAGACTTCGTTAAGTGCTGCCACGTGACGGGAACGAGTACTGTAATTAACATTATAGCATGTAGCTGGTAAAGCGAACAGCTTTTTCTTTTTAACCTCTAGTGCCACCAAAATAACAAATACCCCAACTCGGTGAAATAGATCCTTCCTTCCTAAAGCCGCCTGGGCGATGTCCGCGGCTCCGCCGGAGGAGCAGCTGCGAGCGGGGCTGGGTGCGCGGCTTTCGCGTCTCTCGGGGGTGTTTGGGATCGGGGCGGTGGGTGGGGGTTGTTGCCGCTTATCCCGCGGGGCAGGAGAGGGACCGGCCCCAGGCTCCCGCTCCCGTCCGCCCGCGGCCCCGCTCATTTCCGGCTCGGGGCCGCCCCCGGCGCCAGAGACGGCTCCGCTCCCCCCGCCCGGCGGCCGCAGGTGCCGCCCCGCTCCCCTCGCCGGGCCAGGTAAGCGCCGTGAGGGACTCCCGGGGCGGGCAGGGCCGGCAGCGGCACCGGCAGCAGAGCGGGGAGCTGAGGGCGCGGTACCCCTCGGACGGGTCCCCTCCGCGGGGCAGCTCCGGCTCTGCCCGGCCGGGACCGGCTGCCGAGGTGTTGCGGAGCGGCCGCCCCTGGGAAGAGCCCCGGCGGCACCTTCACCCTCGCCTGTCCGGCCTCCCGCGCACCGCCCCGCGGCTGTGGGGAGAGGCAGCGGAGGGCTGGGGGGCTCTGTGAGCTGCGGGTTCTCGCCTGTCCAGAGCCACACACCTGCCTCGTCCCCAGCTGTCGGAGGTGGCTTGCCGGTGAGGGAGAGGTACGGAGCATCCACGTTCCTGTGCAGAGCTGCGTTCCCCACCACACACCGCTCCTGAGGCGTAGCCGCGGCCGTGTCATGGGATGGGGAGCGCTGTCCGGGTCGGGTCCGGGATGGGGAGCTGCCGCCCCTTTCGCCCTCTCTCCTCCTCTTGCTGTGAAGTTTCCAGGCTTCTTTGATGTAAGGTCACGGGACTTTGGTCTTGCGTGTTGGACCTGAATGCAGACCTTTTACTCTCTCTTTTTTTTTTTTTTTACAGCATCCTCTGTTCAGGGACTGTTCTCTTTTGCCACGATTTTCAGGTGCAGGTGACACTGCACAGTAAAGATGCTGCAGGTCCCTATGGCAGCTCTGTCGGTGCTGCTTCTCCTTCTCTTTGGAAGGAAAAAATACCAGAGTTTTCCCTCTCCTAAGACTGCAGCGTCTTTTTAACATCCTGTGTGCATGGGATGCACTTCAGTGAACTTGTGTGTTGAACCTCAAGTCCTTCCTGTAGGACTTCCTGAAAACAGCCAAGGGGAAAAGAGGCCAGGGATCTCCAGCCTGGGACACAGGGAGATGGCGGTGCTCAGGAATATCCTGAGGAGGCAGGATAATCCAAACACAGCTTGCTTGTTTAGTTGTGACCTGCTGAGTTCTTGGTTATTCCGATGGAGACGATGGCTGTTGTGCATCAAGGGGCTCTCAGAAAATCTTAATTTCTAGCTTTGCTTTATGCAAGGTCAGGGGCAATTGCATCTTATTTCTTATGTTCTAGAGCTGTATTTATTTTGGAGGATCATATTAGCAGGTTTGTGCAGATGAATATATATATATATATATATATAAAAATATTTATACATCTCCTGAAGGCGATGGAAATAGCTTTTCTAGATCAAACAGATAATCAGTTTAGTCTGTCCTTTCACTGGCCAATTCAGGTGGTTCAGAGTAGATTCTGAGACACTGGGCTGGAAGATTCTGAGCTGGGTTAGAAGAATCCTCTCTTTGCCAGGACACCCTGCTGCACAGAAACTGATGTGAGGTCTGAGGCATTAGATTTTAGAATCCCTCATAAGATGGTATAAATGTCTCCAAGGCTACTTTGCTGGGCAAATAGTGTTGTTCTCATTCTCCAGAGCACCTCTTGCATCTCCAGAGCATTCTCTTGGTCTTTTGTGGCAAGCTATGGTGGGTAGTATGAACTGTCCAATTGGAAAGTCTGCTCAGCTGTGTTGTCACCATCAGATAGGAAAATTTCTATTCCCACCCCAATTGATGCATCTAATGAATCAAAACCCTGTCTACTGATCTGAAGATGGTATCGCAAAGGAGGACTTCGTGTGAGACTGTCTTTAACAGCATGCAGACAGTGCTGGGGACTGCTGTTCCTTGTGACTTTGCCAGGCAGCCTCAGAGAATAAACTAATGGGATGAGGACAATTGACAGTAACAGCAATCACATGGACACAGTTCTGTGCACAATGTTCTTCATGGTCAGAGAGCTTTGAGGATATTGATCCTTATGTACAATAAAGTAGGCTTGGTTTCCATAATATAGTTACTCACTGTCTAAATCTGTTTGATTTCATAAGGCTGCTCAGGGGACTTAATTCTTCCTCTTCTCCTTACCTGTTTGTAGAAGCTCATCTTGGATTTAAGGACGGTGACAAGAAACTTCAGCTGCAGCAAATGTGTCCTCATCCACTGGGTGGAGCAGCCATCTTGTTCCTGCCAGATGCCTTGGCTTGCTGTCCATATAAAATCTGAGGTGGAAATAATTGATTTACTTTGTTTGTCTGAATCTGGAATGATTCATTTTGTTGTCCTACCAGAAGAGCAGAATAGTAACAGTTAGTAAGGCTTTCTGTCCTTTGTCACTGTGCATCCTTCGAGGTATCCATAACCCAGCAGCTTGAAAGAAAGGTGCTGTGGATGTTCTGATTACCCCTCTTAATATTTTCTATCAGTGTTCTCTTTTCCCCATCCTGCATCCTGAACCTTTAATTTCTTGTCTGATGCCAAGAAGGATTTCCCTGTGCTTTGCCCTAATTGCTCATTTTGCTAAGCAAACCTGACCTCTGCAGCTGGGCAAGGAGCACGGGTGGATCTACTAAGTGTTCCCATGTGCTTCTGCTGTGGCAAGGAGCACCATGTGCTCTCCTTAGGCCATATGTTCAAAGGTTTGCCAGCCCTAAGCTTTTAAAAATCATCAGCTAGGCATAAAAAAATGCCATGGAATGATGTAACTTTTTATTTTTTTTAATTCTTAATTTGCTTTCTTGTGCTCATTTCTGATTGTCTTAGAGATTTCTGCATGTCTGTATAAGCTTCCAAGAAATGCTTGAATCTCAGTATTTCACTGGACTGCAGGACCTGGGTGCCTCAAGCACAATAACAAATACTGTGAGCTTTGAGAGAAAACAATGCCAAAAATAGCTGTTTTGGGTTCTGTGTAGGCTGTGGTACTGTGGACTTTCAAATGAAGTCTGGAGCCATGGTGGGCTTCCCTGTGCTTTGTTCAGGTTGGGGTAACATGATTGGGAAGCCCTGTGGACTTTTTAACCAAGTGTTTTTCTCTGAACCATGTGTCACAGAGTGCTAAAGCAGGAACAAATACTGTCTTGTGCTCTTAGAGACTGTGGCTTTAATCATAGGTTTGTTTGGGAGGAAATGGGGTATGGTACGATGCTTTGGAAGAGTACAATGTTCTCGTCTGCTTGGCATAACTGGAAGAAAATCTGTCACGTAATAAGACTGAGAGCAAGGAGGCTTGTAACATCCCTGCTTTCTACTTAGTGAAGTGTGTGAGTGCAGTTAATTTAGCAGAGATGTCATCTGAAGGAGGAGTTGTTGCCTCTGCTTCTGTAGTTTTAATCTCTGTGCTGTAGGAGACTGTGTATCACTTTTCTGCCCCAGTTACTGGCCCTGTCTATGTGGAAGGGTGTGCCTGGTTCAGAAGGATGTCTGAGGATTACACATACCTGAAAGTCCTGCAGGAAAGGCTTATGTTGTTCAGAGGATGGTAGAAGACCTCTAAAAATGTGTTTGGGAGCTGTGAACCTTTGGAGATCTGCTTTGGTGGTCCAGCACAGTGTGGGCTTGAGGCTGGCTTGAACTTGTGTTGTTGGTAAGATTCTGGCAGATGTAAAGTTGTCACTGCTCACAGCAAGTGATGTGTCGTGGGCTGAGGCAACCTGTGTTTCTGAGGAGGACATGAGACTATGAACAAGGCTCTTAAGACCTATTCTACAGCTTTTTTGAAAGAATTAGCCTTTAGCACATGTGCTGGATGTAGGCTAAAGCAATGCAGCGAAGGCTTGAAAAATGTCTAGTCATTGTAGCTGTGCAATCAAGGTAACAACATCCAGCTGTTTATTGCTTCCTGTCTCAAGTTCCTCCAATGAATAACAAGCAAGATATCTGCAGACCTTTGGAGGAATAGAACTGGTAACTGTGTGTTGTTTAAAATAAAATTGTGGAATGCATAAATAGGTAATTTAGGCCATGGAAAGCAAAACTTCTGGGAAAAATCCAGCTATGTTTGGATATAGCTAGGTGAGTCCAGCCTCTG